CATTCCATAAACCAAAACCATGCCATATAGTCGAGAACCCGACAAATGTAATTCATTGTTTAAAATACTCCAGTGTAAACTCGGAGCTCTACAAAGTACAGTAAAAAATAAATACAAATATTAAAAATGTCCGGTATCTTGTTCAAAATATAAAAGACAAGATAAATGGTTAAAATGTTCTCAAACTATCAAATATCAATAATTTCACATGTAAAAATATCGTATTTTTACGTGTGTTCAGATACCACATTTCTCGGTGGTAGAAATCCTTGTAAAACACTGCAGTTTATATAATGAATATAGAATACTTCATGGAAAATGCGAGTTTATGGTATTTACGTACTCGTTGTTTTTGTATCAAAAATCTCAATCGTTTGCTGCGCCCGCACTCGTTCGATTTCTGATACGTTAACAACTCGTGCGTATAGTAAATACCGTACGCCCGCACTTTCCATGAAGTTTTCTATATTTTCGTCATAGCTTTTCAGTGCGTATATCTCAGTACAGTAGGACCCCGATAACTCGAACTCGGATGACTCAAACTCCCCGCTAATTCAAACTAACAGTCCAATTTCCCTTGGATTTCACACCATTTTCAGTCACTTTTAGTCGGTTAACTCGAATTCGGATAACTCGAACTAAATTTATTTTCCCTCGAATTCTGGTTCTTGTAGCTCCACTCGGGTGCCACCCCATTGGCTCTTCTTCATGTGTAAATGTAAAAGTCATAGTCATTGTGGTCAACATGAGAGCAATTTCTCATTGGTGCAACGAACAGGTCACGTTTTATCATAAAAAAATGCCTCATCATATGTTACTGTTTCTGATAAAATAAGTTAAATTTGCATCGCACTATACATTGAAGTGCTGAAAAATCAGTATCCACCAATTTTTAACATGGAAAATTGAATTTTGCATCGACCCGATAACTCGAACCTTCGCTAACTCGAACTGTTTTTGGGCGTTTCCCTACAGAGTTCGAGATATCGGCGTTCTACTGTATGTTATAGAAAAACATGTTTTTGTAAATTGTTTTGTAACTTGTTTGCCCACGGAGCACTTAGGAGTTTTTAAGAATTTGTTGAGACTTGTCCGTGTGTTCCAGATCGAATTGGACTTTGCAAAAGTTGGTTTTTAAGGAGAGGGGAAAACCGCCTTGTACCCGGAGAAATATACTTCTCGGAGCAAGGGAGAGAACTAACGACAAACTCAACCCATATTTGGCGTCGACGTGGATTCGAACCCGGGCCACATTATATTGGTGGGAGGCGAGTGCTCTCACCACTACGCCACCCTTTCATTTTTTTATCACGAATAAAGCCAAGTTATCCGGAAGTCTCTGCTTCTAGTTTGCTATTTACTGTCAATACAAAATATAGTAAGCATACAGAATGACATTCAAAAAGTCATTTATAGTTCATGAAAGAAAAAACAATTCCAAGTTTTTACCCACGGTACTAAAAGAATTAAGAGATTTTGAAACCTTTCCCCAACCTCGCAACCTTTGTATAATTAAAAGGAAAAACCACTCGGTAGTGCCTCGCTTTTAAACTAAATTACAATATACCGCACTCGTTTATTAAACATCACTTTAAATTATCCCACCTTTCGTCCAGCAATAAGCAGGGTATATGGTGACTTAAAGGCCATGTTCACATTGTACTAGCCTGCGTAGCAAGCGTTTCCGTGCGGTTTAGGAGCAAAGAACGAGGAGCGAGAGTCAAAGACCGCGCGAAAAATGGCGTAAGTAAAAGAGCAGTTTTTGGCTCTTGTTTCATTTCTCGCGCGGCCAAAACCGAGAATCCCGTTCCTCGGTCTTTCTTTGCTCCGAAACCAAACGGAAACGCTTGCTACGCAGGCTAACATTGTACCGGATATAGCTTTTCGTATCCGGGTGTAGTGGCAACACCAATCCGATAGGTCTGTATCGCTCCGTCACAGATATCGCACCACCACAATCGTCCTTATGTGTGAAGAGAAGCCCTGCCTGGTATGATTTCTGTGGCGGCGCAAAAGCCTTAGTCACGGTAACTAATAGAACTCTCAAGGGAAACATAATTGTCATATTTCATGAGATACATACGCCTCATTCAGAAAGAGGCAAGACAGAACGATCGCCGGACTGGCAAGGTAAGGTGGCCTGTAAGTTAATTTTCAGAATGTAGCTAGCAAGTGTTCAAGTTGCTGTTAGAGCGATGCATGTTCACACTGGTGGGCTCCACGATGGCACAAATTGTGAAAACTATAGCTAACTATGTTGCGCCAAGTATAGGGACCCTACCACAGACGTTTGAGTACCGGCGGGGAAGTCACTTAACCTGAATTGCGCGTTTTTCGATTTTTGATCCAGGACCTTTCGGTATATTAATGTGTATTCTGAAGGTGTCTGAAAGGCATACAGTGGAGGGAGCAAGGTACAAAACGTTGCTTCTTCGCACCGTTAAGAGATTCAAAAGATGACGCGTGTCGAGCCCTATTTCAAAGTAAATTCCGGGATAAATAACTTACTAAAAGCCATGACCCAGAAACAGGACTAGACTAAACATTAGCGGTAGCGGATGAACAGGACATTCTATGCAGTATTTTCCTGATCAACTACAATTTACTTAACCCGTTCATAAGAGTGACTTTAGCCCTTTGACGATACTCACGGCCGAGACAATCTGTTGAGTTCGTACCAGCTTAAAGACGTAAAAAGTGTTTTGTATTGGGTCAAACTGAGATTTAGAGGAGAGTAAAACATTCCAAATCCGAGAAAAATTGCTGACCGACAAAACAAGCGACTCAAAAGTGACAACGCCAGGGAAAGGAACTACGTGTATCACGATACTGATCGCCTTTTGACAGCAGCAACAATTAATTACGTGAAACTTGCATTAACCTGTCCGTCATATAACGTCTATTTCACAGTACACAAGTCTCAAAACAACATAGTTTAAATATCTTTTATTATCCTATATTACAGCGTAACTGTTCGCATTTCTTACAAGTCAATGTAAGCCAGCTTTTACTGTTCAAATGTTTCACTTCCGGTTGAGTGTACTGACTTCACTTATGATTTCAGTACTGATACATTAAGGTGACTCGACCCAGTCTTTTTGGGGGGTACCATCCTACTTTGAAGCTCTCTGGTATCCTCACCTTTACTTTTATCGTAAGTCTAACACATAGAATGGATAACATATAGATCAATCTACAATATAACATAAAATTTTTGGCGATCGGAGTAAATGTCACGTGGTTATAATGTCAAGCCCCTTTGAGGTCTGAGTCGAAAATCTACTGTTTCTTGGATTTTTTCGTGAAAATCTCTCGGCTACACATAATGTGCATTAGTGCCTTGCGCTGAACAGAGTTTCACCAAAATCGCAAAGACCCAATTCGAGAAATTCAGCGGTTTCCAAATTTAGGTCATAATTTATGCGAAAATGATAAGCAAACTTTACACGATTATATCTAATAAACTATGAGATTCATTCCTTTATTTTGGGCATCGTTATAACAGATGGGACCTTGCAAGTTAGAAAAACGCTTTAGGGCCTTGTAAATACGCGCGATTTCGAGCAAAGCAAACATATAGAAATTATAGTTTTCGCTATTTGTTGACGTTTGTCAGTGTATAAGAGTCCTTCTCACGAAAAAAACATTTTCTTAAAAATTCGTAGTTTTTTTTTCCTTCAACTTTTTTCAGGGCCACAATTGATTAACTAACTACCCGAACTCTGAATTTCATGGTCATTGAAAAACTGTGACATTATCTTCTATAAGCCCAAACTTGAGTAAAACATTGAAGATTTTTTAGCGTTTTGGCTGAGTTTGTGCTATGGGAGTTGCCTATTGTTTCTAGTCTGTCATTATACAGCATTCTTGTTCAGCACGCGTGCAATGACCGCGCTTGGCTGACTTCCGAATGCTCACCGAGATATGATAATTTTGGTACGGTGAGACAGGCCATCGCGTGATACATAGAGGTTTAACTCACAATTTTTAATCAATTCTCGTGCTTCTTGTGCTTTTGCAAAAAAATCAAGAAGTGCTACACACTAAATCTACTTACTATTAAAAAAATATCATTTTTTCATAAGTTTAATTCAAGCCAATAATTAAACCAACTCTTGACGGGAATCCCTTCTATTTTCTCATACTAAATTACCAGCATAAATTATGACCTAAATTTGGAAACCGCTGAATTTCTCGAATTGGGTCTTTGCGATTTTGGGGAAACTCTGTTCAGCGCAAGGCACTAATGCGCACTATGTGTAGCCGAGAGATTTTCACGAAAAAATGCGGGCAATAGCTGATTTTCGACTCAGACCTCAAAGGGGCGTGGCATTATAACCACGTGACATTTACTCCGATCGCCAAAAATTTTAAGTTATATTGTAGATTGATCTATATGTTATCCATTCTATGTGTTACACTTACGATAAAAGTAAAGGTGGGGATACCAGAGAGCTTCAAAGTAGGATGGTACCCCCCCAAAAAAATTGGGTCGAGTCACCTTAAGGAATCTAGTCTCCACGGATATTGGGCTAATTTCAAGCTTTACTGGTCGCCAAGGCGTTGACCTCGTCCCCAGCCTCCCCATCCACCACCTCCACCACCGTCGTTTTGGTCACGTGGTCTGCGGCTCGCCGGAGGGACACCAAACCCACTTACCCCTCCCTGTCGGTTAGGGAGAAACTTGTACCTGTGAAAAATAATAAAAGTGTCCTCTTTTATTATTCTGAATTCACCGTCGAGTACTTACCATTTACATGGAAAAAACGGAAATTGCGGATGAAAATCAAAGGGTACGCGCTATTCTGTTTGGAGAGCTTCAGAAAATACGGGCTGTTATTTAAGGCGATGAAATTTGTTTACTCTCTTAAGTCTGTTCAGCTGATTTGGATACACTTTCTAGCGGGCAGTTCTGCCACCACGTCAATATATCAAGATTTCCTCCCGGTGGGTTTGTGTAATTGGTAAGCAACCTTTGTTTACCCACCCAAAGTTTGGAAGTATTGTCTTCAATTTATTATTACGACTTAAATACGCAGGAGAAATATCCCACATTCGATATATTAAAATTCTAACATGACTCCGAGTCTTTCTGCTCATATTCTTATATGTGGGCCAATTTAATTAAAATTTTACAACTGTAATTTACAAGTGCAGCTTCTGTTTTCAGACTCTAAGACCCTGTTTACATGGAGTGGGGGACCCCGGTCTAGTGGGGTAGTTTTCTTTTGTTTTGAGTCCCTCAGAGCGTGAAAACAAAAGAAACCAACCCCACTAGACCGGGGTCCCCCACTCCATGTAAACAGGCCCTAAGACAATGGCTACACTTGTAAAAGTTTTATTAAATTGACCCTTGGTTTGGTTTTCTTTGTGCTCAAGTCTCGTCTGAGAATTGCGAGAAAATGGAGTCGAGAAAAATTTTCAATTTTTTTCCTAAAGCTTCGGAGTCATTTTAGAATCTTAATACATCGAACATGGGATATTGGAAACAATGGTTATGAAAATTTGAGGGGTAAAAAAAGGTGTATTAGCAGCAATGTGAAAATTTCTACGAAATAACCTCTTCGAATATAAAGGTTTCTGAGGGTTCTAACGTATTTCGCAAAACTGCGTTGATTACAATGCAAGTAACGTAAAGAAACAAGTTAACAGTCTGTATACCCACTTACAAAAGGGAATGGAGTTATTTTGTAATTATTAGGGCAAACTTCTATAGATCTAACGTCATAACTGGAATATAATTCCCAAAATTTACATGCTAACAAGGCTCCATTGCCATGAGTAAAACTCGATCATGAAAATTTGGAAAATTTCTCGACAAGTTTTTCCTTGACAGGGTGGAAAATTGTCAAGTTTTACCATTTACACAACCGAGGAAACTCGTCGAGGAAAAACCTTGTACACAAAGACACGGCTTAAATGGGGCTTACATGTACCACATGTTTTATGGGCTTTTATATTACCATCTCATTAAGATCTCTTTAAAATAGGACAAACCTCAGTGTTATTAATACAAAAAAAATTATTGAATTCTTACAGTATGGAAGGAGTGGAAAGGAAGCGACGCCCTCCAAAATCTTGTGGGTACTTGAACATGAGAAAAAAATAAAGGTGTCCAACAAAAATGCCAATAAGCTCCATAATACCACTGAAAATCAAACCAACAGAAGGGCCATTAGAAATTTCACACAATGTCAAGTTTACTTACTGTTACGGTTGCCCTAACAATTTTTCAATGGACTGCATAGTTACTCTCACACTACAACAAAAATCATCAAAAATCTAAAGTTCAACTTAACCTTACTGGTTCCTTTTTCAAACAAGCAATACTGTTATTATGCATTCCTCAGAATGCACAAGAACACCGTTTGTAGGCTCACATTAGTGAGTTGAAAAGTTTGACTAATAATAAGAACCAAAGCGGCATAAACTATCACTAGTGTTAACAAGCTTTCTCTACATGATTATGTATTCTGTGATTAAAACAGTTTGAACTTTTTAAATAATCTGATTTTTTTCGCTTTGTTGCTGGTTTACTGATGACATTGTAGCATGCCTCCCTAGAACTGGAAGTGAAAAAAAAAAAAACTCAGTGGTGACAGTAAAAGAAACAGCCACCATATTCAAAGAAAACATGAGCAAATTTCTGCAAAGAAAAGGGCACGAAATGGTTCTACATTCTGTGAAAAGAAAAAAGGTGCTACATACCCTCCCTGAAGGATCATGTTAAATATTGCCAGCACCCATGGTAAATACATTGCCTAAGGACGAAGCAGCAAAGATAGTCAGCAATTTATTTGTCATCAGCACTGTCATTAAGGACCAGGGACTCAGGATTCTTTCTTGTATCTCAGTATACTTTGGTAGAAAAATTTATTATACAATAATTTGATATGCTAAAAACACAAGAAAAGTCAAAATTATTCAAACGACTATTTCCCACCAACTTATCACCATAAAAAGAACAAAAGAGTCATGTCAGCAACAAACAGGATCAAAAATATATGTTGTGGTTCAACTTTATCCATGGTTTAAATTTATTTCCTTTTTATTCAAATGCATTATCATCCACTATCATACCCAAAAACAAAAGGAAATAAAATTTGAACCAGGATAAAATTGAACCACAAGATACGTACATATATTTATATTTTAGGTGGTACAATTTCTTTGATATTTGGTAAACCCAAGACTGAAAGAAGAAAAGTTAAAAAATGGGAAAAAGTGATGATGAGAACAAAGACTGAAAGATAAACTTTGAAGAAGTAACATCTAAAAAGTTGAAAATTGCAACCTTGCAGGGCTGTCAAAAATTTTTTAAGTAGCAGGCTGATAATGAATAGTAGGCGGCTTTGGAACTCGCACCAAAGGCGCAAGGCATCTAGGGACATTTAGAAATTTGGAGTCCTGGAAATGATGTTCACAGGGGTTTTCATGAGGTATTTTCCGCCGCAGATGCTATGTTGTTTCGTCAGAATACACACAAGACTGGGAACAATGCCGTCGAAATGCAGGCATTCCATGACATTGCACGGTTAGAATGTTTCACAGATCTAAACCTGTTAACCGGTAAATATGTGTTCAATGTCATTCAAAACTGGGAAACAACTGCTTTACAATTTTATTTGATGGTGCTAATTTCTTGTTAGTAGTTATGGTAGAAGGAGATAAAAGTAGCCGGTTAAGGATGGCTAATTAGTAGGCAGTTTTGGCGGGCTACTGGCCCTTATTGATAGCCCTGCCTTGTAATCCTGTGCTTCAGCCCAAACTAGCACAGATTCAATAGTACTACACTGCTTGTTGGTGGGGCCCTGTCCTCTCAGTTAAGCCAAGACAGCTTGTAAACGTTCAGGGCTCATTTTTAAGGTATCACGGCAATAATTTAACAAGTTAACATTTTTCAAGGGCTAAAGGTGTAATAAGTCATCTGTAATAACACCAAAGAAAACTTCCTACGGGAGCTCGAGAAAATGATTAATGTCAAATTTCACAAATTGACAGCTAAATGAAGTTTTCAGAATTTTACCTGTGGTTTCACATTCTTGTGAAATTTGACATTCATTTTCTCAGGCTCCCATGAAAAATTTTGTTTGGTGTTATTACAGATGACTAATTACATCTTTAGCCCTTGAAAAATGTAAAAAGAATGCAATATTCTTTAAATAATTTATTACTCTGGTACAGGGATTTTGTCCACTGAAAATTAAAATTACTCAATTTCCTGGCGGATTCTGTCTTAAAACACCATCAATCATTTACTTTTTTTCCTAGTGTCACTGAACTTGTCATGAGCTAATAACAGCTAAAATTAAGGACATTAAAAGAGTCTTAAAATAGGATATGTTATGGTTCAAATTTTATTTTCCTTTGTTTCAAACTCATTATCCTATATTACCATACCCCAAAACAAAGCAAAATAAAATTTAAACCAAGGACAAAATTGAACCAAAATAGATATACTGCAAACTTCCCATGATTATAAACCCCCCTTTATAGGCCCATCGAACTGCAAACAAAAAAAATAGATTTCAAAATAGATCCAATTATAAGCTTCCCCCCGACACTCAGATAAAAGCACCCCTATAGCATGAATTTAAGTGAATTCAACTTTTTAGGACATTTTGAAGCTTGAAAAAGTGATCAAATTCAAAAAGTATTTTGATAAGCACTGCTTTGTAAATTGTTTTGAAACACTTTTTTTAGTCCAGTTATAAGTCCACCAGTTTATAAGCCCTGTTAAACCCCTCATGAAGTTGTGTAAGCCCAGGGCTTATAATCAGAATTTTACCGTACTGTAACTATAGTAATACAAGTAACGAAGTAACTACACTTAGAGCTTCTCCTACTGAAACATTAACCGCAAAAAGCATTGTAGTATTAATCTGTTTAAGTCCTGAACGGAGACCTTACGGATTGCCCAGCTCTCAGGTGTTTATATGTCTTCTTTTAGGAAGAAAGGGCCAAGATAAGACTAAAAAAAATAAAGTACTCCACCTTAAACTGCATTCCAAACCAGAACTGTACAATCATGTCTTTGTTCACTTGACACCAAACATACAGAACACTGAGAACAAGTGGGTCCATAAGAAGCTAAAATAAACATGTCAAATCAGACAGGTTGTGTTAGATATGATTAAGTATTAAAATTTATTATATGAAAACAGAGCAAAAGGTGAGGAGTTCAACAAAAAACACTGACAGAAATTTTGTGGCCAACTAGTTTTCTCTTATTTTCACTTTAATGTAAGTATAACCCTCACATTTTAATAAATTACCCTACCTGCAGTAACTGTATAGAAGAAAAAAACTTACCATCAAAGGTATGAGGAAGCCTATTATCTGATGGCATTGCATGTCAAGAAAAACAATCATCTTCATGATGCTCCACATGAATTAACTTATACCTACATTCCTACTTATTGTTAGCACTGAAAATAAAATTTATTTTCATGTACGGATGATGATGGTGATGATGATTTAGAAAAAATCATAGCATTGATCATTTTGGAAGTAACAGTCAACAGCATGTCACTTTTAAGACCATGCATTTTGTTTGAAGAAGAAAAACAACAAAGAGACACTGGAACCATTCATAGAGAAACATCATTTTCAACTTCACTGATTTCAATGCACGGCATGTTTTGCATCATAAAAGGATACAATTAAGATACATCCATTGAAGAGTATCATAAACAAATAGTCTGCGGGTCTGCCATCAAAGAGACCTAAAAGAAAAAACATTTATTTGTTGATATCATAAGTACACAAACACACTGTAGTAAAGCAGTTTGTCACATACCAGCGCAAATATAGGGTGACCCAGTTTAATATTAAAACAAACCTACATTTCAGTATAAGTTCCTGAGTGTTTTTTGATGTTGTTGTTGTTTTTTCGTTTTACCTGTTTCAAGTCTCGTGGAGTAAGAATATAAGAAATACATGTTGATGAGGTAATGGAAACCAGTCTGGGGCGTGATGGGATAGAACACGAACGCAGTGATCAATCTCCAGATCTGAAAAGCAAACAGTGTACTGCTTAAATGCTATGGTTTACATGCACATTAGATCTTAATAAAAAAAATTACCAGAGAATGTCATTTTGTCAATTATAAGCCCTATATTTTTGTTTAATTAGATAATCTGCACATATTCATTATTAGAACAACAGGGCTCCCCCACCAACCACCCCCCATCCCCTCCAAAATAAAATAAAATAAAAACTTGAATTCAAGCTTGTGCTTTAGACCAGCAGCTGTCATGTTTGTTTTGGTTTTTCTGGGGCTATTGCTTGATTGTCTTAGTAAATGATAAAATTGATACTTGCCTGGACCCTGGAGCTTAAAAAGACAGTTGCCTAGCAAGACAATCTACATATCCTGGGCAACTACATGAAAGTATTCTCAAGCCCTAGACAATAACTAATATAACTTATTATAATAACTTATTATACAGGGACTGCGGAGGGGGAGGGGCTGGTAGGGCCGCGGCCCCAACACTTTTTTGCGCCCCCGCCCCCACTTTTTGCGCTAAAAAGAAAAACAATTAAATTAAAAAAAAGACTTGAAACAAGTTTTTTTCCGTCTATATTCCGCTATATTCTCTGTATTTTCTTTAATTTCAAACGCCAGGCATTTTCTGGGGCTCCTGTGCTTTTCGCGGTAATTGTGCCCTGGGGCCGACTTGCCCCTTGATCAAACGCCATGCCTTGGCCACCCCTTTGCTTCGTTCGGCAGCGTGTTTTGTATTTCCAGCTTCGGCAGAGTTTTTTTATCAGACAAAATGAAGAAAATTATTAGCTTTTTCAAGCCAAACGAAGGTGAGTAGTTGTTTTGAGTTGATAAAAGTTTTATATTTTGTCTTTCTCCTTTCGAATCAATGAAATATTCGATATCAAGAAGAATTACATTACTTCAACAGTGAACGGCCATATTTAGAAATTTTTCAGATCACTTCAGCCTGAAGACATGGCTGAGATCGAACATGAAACAGCAGCGATTCAGCAACTTGACAGTACTTAACTGTCATAAGAAATTAACGGAAAGCTTGGACGTGATTCAGATCGCAAACACATTTGCTGGACGGAATGAAAATCGTATGAAGAATTTCGGTATCTTCACTAATGCCGACCTATAGAGAGCAACAAATACTGGATAAAGTATGCAAAGACACGCGACAGAAACAAATAAAATACTATGATTTTATTCCTTTTTTCGATTTTCAAAATGAAAAAATTATTTTCAATTGTCAGCCCTCCCACTTTTCACCTTTCTCCGCGGTCCCTGTTATAGCATGGTTATTTTTTTTACCTTACTTAATTTCCCCACATTTTAGGTTATGCATATTTTTTTGCAAGGGTTACAGCTGCAGTTTACTAGAATTTCTCAAAGTTTGTGCACTACTGAGTTGCTTACCACATGGCAACAGAACTGACTTAAATATAAGTACATGTAAGTGTCAATGCTAATAATTGCATGTATTGATAAATAATAAAATGTAATAACTATGCATTCAAGTAAAAAAAAATTTAATTGCAATTTTTAACATCACAACAATAATTTATTGCAAAATGAAGTGTATACTGATTTCATATCACCATGTACATCAGAGTTTGGCTTCTAATTTGTTACACTGTTTTGTTCCTCTAACTGTAAACACCTGCCTCGGGTCTTAAGTAGTTTGAATGGGCTGAGCCTTATACAGTGCAGCCCTAGACACCCACTTAAAACAGACACTCATATAACAGACAGTTTTCTTACTTCTGATGAAAATCTCATATAAATTATTTTCTCTAAAATTGAGCTGCATAACACTACCCTGCGATCAGTGATTTTTCCAGGCTGGATGTGAAACCACTGCAAGCAACCATTTGCTTTCCCAGACACCAGTTTATATGACAACAGACATTTTCCTGTGTCAGGAGTCACAAACTCCCCACATTTTTGACCTGTGCACTATCAGAACATATCAGAAATGGAAAATGACCTTTAAAAGGTGCCGTCTAATTTTCAGTCCACCTGGCTGAGTCGCAAAATAAATAATCCTCAGTACAGAGTAAAAAACAAAATGAACGTGAGGCTGAGGTTGACTTTGTTTTAAAACAAACCTCATTCCTTTTGTTACAGAAATTATGCATTAAAAAAATCTAGTTAGAACTAGTTAGCATAAGAATAACAGAATTTACATAATAAAGCAGGAAAGGTTGTATCAAAATAAGGTCAACTCCAGCCTCGTTTAAACCTGTAACTGTCAAATGGGCTATTGCTTTCACCTAATCAGTGGTTGAAAGAACGAGGTATATACATGCATATGGCACTTTTTCATATCATGGCTGTAATAATATTACCATATCATATTGGATTGATGTGTAATTTTATACATGGACGTAAGTATATGAACCACCGTCTTGTACGTACAAGAACCCATTACACCGCTAAACCTCCACGACACTTCATCAAAGTGTTTTTCCACAACAAAGAGATAGACAAAGTTAACCTCACTAA